ACAGAGAGCAAGATATTGAAAACATATTTGAAGAAATAATGACAGAAAACTTCCCCCACCTGGTGAAAGAAATGGACTTACAGGTCCAAGAAGCGCAGAGAACTCCAAACAAAAGGAATCCAAAGAGGACCACACCAAGACACATCATCATTAAAATACCAAGAGCAAAAGACAGAGAATCCTAAAAGCAGCAAGAGAAAGAAAATCAGTCACCTACAAGGGAGTACCCATACGACTGTCAGCTGATTTCACAACAGAAACTTTGCAGGCCAGAAGGGAGTGGCAAGAAATATTCAAAGTGATGAATACCGAGAACCTACAACCAAGATTACTTTGTCCAGCAAAGCTATCATTCAGAACTGAAGGTCAGATAAAGAGCTTCACAGATAAGGAAGAGCTAAAGGAGTTCATCACCACCAAACCAGTATTATATGAAATGCTGAAAGGTATCCTTTAAAAAGAGGAAGAAGAAGAAAAAGGTAAAGATACAAATTATGAACAACAAATACACATCTCTCAACAAGTGAATCTGAAAATCAAATGAATAAATCATCTGATGAACAGAATGAACTGGTGATCACAATAGAATCAGGGGCATAGAGAGGGAGTGGACTGACTATTCTTGGGGGGAAAGGAGTGTGGGGGATGCGGGAAGAGACTGGACAAAAATCGTACACCTATGGATGAGGACAGTGGTGGGGGGGGGGGAAGTCGGAGGGGGGGGGGGGAACTGGGTGGAGGGGAGCTATGGGGGGAAAAGAGGAACAACTGTAATAATCTGAACAGTAAGATTTACACTTGATCTTTGCCAAAAGGCCGAGAAGCGATGAACAGTAAGATTTAATTGGGAAAAAACAAACTATGGGCTGTAAAACCAGTACAGATTGGGGCTCAGTGACACACAAGTCGCTGGAGACCCAGCTGCTCCCCTTAAAAGGCCGGCACCACGAACAGAATTTACAAGCTCCTGCTTCCTCTGACCTCCAGCACCTGGGTGAGGCTCTGGGGGATCCAGACACACAGGAGGAGAAACTGACTGACTAGCATCAAGGCAGGAACTCAGGGATGGCTTTCTTCTAGATGGAGGTGCTCATAGGGATCATTGTTCCCGTGCTGGGACCTCCCGGTTGCAGGGGTGACTGCCAGCCATTTCTATCTGAGACCCTGCCCCACCCAATTTACAACCCTACGCAAGCTGTGTACAGTGGCTTTTCCATATAAATGGCCTATCCTTTCTCAGGCTAAAAACTTGTCAAACAAGCTGCAGCTGGGTCAGGGAGCCCCAAATCTAATCTAATAAAAGAGAAACATGGTAATTGGCGTACGACCGCTACCCTTCCCATTGGCTAGTCAGGGAGATATGCAAATTAACTGTCAGCCAAGATGCCAGCGGCAGCCAGGCAGCTTGAAACTAACATGAGGCTTGCTTGCTTCAGTGACAGAGGAAACCAACGTTACCCACCTGCCGCTGCCGGCATCTGAGCTGCAACTCTAAGCAACTC